CCCGGCCTCCCGCAGCAGCGCGAGGCCGGAGGGCGCGGCTGGGAAACGGAGGCGGAAAACGGTGCGGGGCGCTTGGCCCGTGTCTGGGGTCGCTTTTGCCGTGGCCTGGCACGGTGGCTGGAGGGCAGGATCGCACCCGGAGCCCTGTGGCGTGGACCTAAATCCCCGAGGGCTAATTACCAACCCCTGATGGCTGAGGGAGGCCGGCGGTGGGCAAAGCCGCCGTGGCGAGGGGCTCCCTCCCTCAAGGCGGGTTCTCGGGACTGAAATAAGCCTTACGATGGGGTAGCAGCTGCCTCGTGAGTAAAATAAAGTTGCGTCCTGAGGTGTGAGTGTTCAAACAACCACGAAATCTGATGTGAGGTGTGTGCCGCTCATGATGACACGCACCCCAGAGCGCCGTGCTGCCGTCAGCATGGAGCAGACTGCCCGCCGTGCTGTGCCGATAACTGGTCAGTCACACCGACTGCTCAAAACCTGAAGCGTGCATCTTAGTTTTGAAGCTAAGAAAAACTATGTTACTACTTCTCAAACCAAATCCTGCTTACTAGGAAAAGGTTGGAAGAAAACCAGGTAAAACCTGGCTTAAGTTAACAGAAAAGGTGTTAAGTTAGCTCGTTTTATACAGTGCTTTTTTTAAACTAGAGGAGCTTCAACTCATCTAATAATATGTTGAGGCTCTGCTGGCTAAAAATAATTTACTTTTCCTCGAATGTCTATTCTTAGAATGTCCCATCTTCATGTCTTCTAAAAATTGTGGGATCTTGTTTAGGGAGCAGGAAATCTCTGGGCTGCTGGAAGGGAGGCTGGTCTGGGCCACTGTTAGCAGAGCAAACATTGCTCCAGCCTGTTTTTGGAGCAAAAAACCAGCTCCTCCTTCTGCTGTAGCCTAATGATGGCAGGTTGGGGTGGTCTGCAGAGCTCCCTGCATGCTTGTCTCTCACCTGTGTAGAGTTAAAGGCTTTGTCCTTCAATTTGAGTATTATGTGATGGAACAGCAGCAGTGTTGCCTCTCTTCTGTACATGGGATGATGAATTCAGTGTTGATTCTGTGCTGCAGAAAAGCATGCTGGAGCTTTGCATGAAAAGCACCAGAGAGGAAGGAGAAGCTGTAGATCTAGAATTTTTTTGAAAGTGTTTACTTAACCCTGCTCAGGGAAAAGCAACGATTACTTCTGTTACTGGTTGCTGGCCTGTGCTGAAGGAGTTTGTGTAGTGGCTTTGTGGTGGGACCGCGTCCTACGAGGCTGTGGTGACAGGACTGTGTCTCTAGAGAGGCAGTTTCCAGCCCTTTGTAATGGTCCAACTTACATATTGGCCACAAAAAGCATCTGGGAACTTTGCCTGGATTATCATCCCTATAAAAAGGAAGGAAAGCTTTGTGTTGCGGGGAAGTAAAGAAACTGCCAGGCTGAATCAAGCAAGCTGCCTGGTTTGTGCAGCGTCCTGTGTTTAAACAGCAGTCGGTGTTGAATGCCCAGCAGAAGGCACTGGAATTACTGCAACAAATTGCTGTGCAGCTTCCTCTGCCTTGGGAAAGCTTCTCTTGCTTAATCCTGATTGTCTATCTTGGGTTTTGAGGCATGTGGATCAACTGGCTTTCGATTTATCTGCTAATGTAACTTGGACTATCCTTTTTGTGTATCTGGTACTATTATTTCCCTTTTCCAATAGTGTTAGGGTTTAGAGTAAGTAACACCTGTAGCTTATGAAGCTCCAGCGGTGTATTGTGATAAGGTATTGTCTCAAGTTGACCAGTGGCTTATCTAATTACATTGCAAGGCAGCAAGAAAGAGCAGATCTTCTCTCCACCCTCCTTCTATCTGTCCCTTGCTACTCCCCCAAACCTTAATTCCCACATTCTCTCTCCTTCTGACCTCTAGTTTCTCATCTTGGAACTCTCCTTCCCCTTTCCCACACAAAGACTCATATGGCTGGGATGGTCCTTTGTCCCAGGCGGTGGGTGCCATTTTTGTACGGCCTGATGACCGTCAGTCTGTGCCAGGCTGCTGCTCTAAAAAAAAGAGACTCTCTTGGTTAGGTCGTAACTGTGAAGTGTGCCCATACGACATGGTGCCGAGTTTCACATACTGCAGCTAGGCCAATACTGCGTAGGTCTTGTTGGAGTTACTCCTCTCCAGCCTTGTCCAGCCTAGATGTTTTTGGCAAGAAAGTTAACAACTACATTGAGGAAAAAAAAGACGCTGAGCACATTGGTGATGGAATCGTGTCAGCATTTTAAAGCTAATTTGGATTAGAGCGAGGTGTGAAGTTATTTCGAAATACCTATTGCACTTGCTGTTGGATCAGTCTTATTCTGGGATAGGAATGCTTGTTCCAATTTAGCTTAATCCTTTTTCAAAGCTAACTAATCTAAACCAGGCCAAGGCACTCTTCTGGAACGTGCCAAAGTGTAGTTACTCAAAAGAAACCTGATGTCCAGACAAACCTGTTGTCTATTCCTCTTTGTGGATACGGCCGTGCTGCTCTGTACAGAAACCATATGGGACCATGGCTGTGTGAAGCACACTTGAGTCAGTGAAGGGAGTGGAACTAGAAAGAGAATTAAGCTTTTAGTTAGGCAGTCACTTTTATTGGAGGAACATGGGCTATTTTTGAAAGTGAGAGGACCAGATCCTCCTCCTTTCTTGCAGGAGTGGTGGTGTGAGCAGCTCTTTGTGAACCAGATGAAAGCTGACCCTGCAGAACGGGGGTGAGGGTTCCCCAGCTGGCTCGCCGCAAAGCTCTGCGAACACTAGTGTCGACACAGAAGGTTATGGATGTGGGGGAGAGGCAGGTTATGCTGTAACTACAGTGTGGATTTATGTAGGATTACAGTGTGCCGGTAACCATGGTCTGGTAAATGAACGCAGTGCCTGCTAATTAGGTAATGTCCCTATTAATGAGAAGAAATTTCTGCACCTCATTTCTGGTTGAAGAGTGCCACAGTGGAAGGAAAGAATTCTGCCTCCTGTCTTTAAAGAAATGATTGAGATAATGATGATTCTGCCATCAAAGCCATTTAAAAAGCCTCGAGGGAGTGGGCAGCAGGCTTCGGGCTGCACTTGGCCAAGCCTGTTGTGATTGCAGAGGCATTGCAGCGGGCATGTCAGAGTGACTGATCACCATATCGTTCCTGACTGACAGGAGCTCAGTCCCAAGCTGAGTCGACGGGTGGAGGAGCGAGATGCCTTTCAGTGATTTGCTGCTTCACAGTAAATCCTATTCTGCGCAGGACTTGGAGGATACGTAGGGATTCAAAAAACAGATGCTGTGAGTTCATCTGACTGAAATGGACCCTCTGGAGTTCACTCACAATAACTTTTACTTCCTCACTGGCTCCTTCAAGAAGCATAGAGTGTAGAACAGTGGCATCGATGCACTCCCTTTCTTTTTGTGACTCTGGGATGGAGGGAGGGGGAGAGAGAAGGGGTCGGTGATGAGGGTGCTGACACTGGGAGGGAATATGGACTTGACACAGTAAAAAGCTGGAAACTCCAGCAGTGTAGCAGTGGACACAAGTAGCTGTGAAACATGATGCCCAGTGCTCTGCTCTGTGGACTGACTGGGGAGGGTGAGGGGAGAATGCAGATGACGCATTTGATTTTTAAAAAAGTGGATAGCGTTGACAGAAATTCTATCTTGATTAAGGGCGGTAGGAAAGCATTTGATTCCAGCCGTGTCTTGAGCCTGGTTACAGTTGGTTTTGGCTCCGATTCTTCTGTTTGCCTTCTTGGGGTCCTATCTTGACATCTTTGCAGTCATGTAGCTGATGCTTCTTTACTGACATTATTCCCCTTAACTATTGCGATTCTGTCCTGGGGAGCTGAAGGCTTCTTGGTGCAGCCGTCTCTGGGAGGGAGGGCTGATGATTTACTCTTGAACATTTTCTTATTTATGGAGCATACCATCTGGGTTGAACTATGTGTGGTCTGCCTAGACAGATGGTTTAGGTCGGAGACTTTGTGGATTAAGAATATGCTGCTTTAGAGTTGGTTGGACTCATAAAAGCAAAGTTCAGGTGATTTCCTTAGGGAGTGTTTTGTAACACATGCTCATGGGCTTTGCCTTGCAGCTGTGTGAGGCATCATGAAAACACCTTTGCAAAAAGGTTTTGTTACAATTTCAGAGTTTATAACTTTGTTGCTGGCTTTATTCCTGTTCTGTTGAGTTTAATATCACCTGTTGACACAGGGACTCCTCCTGCTGTCAGTGCTCCACTAATTAACTGCAGGGACTGTTCTTGACACAGTCAGTGCTTGGTTTGTTTACAGGCTGGCCAGCATCTGAGTAGTGCTGTGGAATGCAGCAAGGGTCCTACACTGCCCTTCTTCCTACTTTTTGCCCAGTAACAATACTCTACAGAACTCTCTTCTTGCTTTGGAAAACAATTTACTCTGTAGAAGAGCATGTTTGTCTCATTAGTTCTTGTTTGTAGCCCTTCAGGGGTAGAAAGACTGCACTGCACAGTGCTCTGGAGTCAGCCTCCTCATCAGGCTCTTGCTTCACAAATCTGTGCCCTGGTAAGGTTCAGAACTCTTCTTTGCTGTGTGTGGTGAGGGAGGGAAGGGCAAATCAGTTGCTCTCTGGAAAAGCTTTCTACTTTACTTCCTTTTAAAAAGTACAATTCTAGCACCTACAGGTATAAAGACGACTTTCAAAATTTTATGTTTTTGATAGCTTGGAACCTGCAAATGTCAACAGTGGTAAAACTTCCTTAGCTTTGCCAGTCAGCAGCAGAATAAAAAAACTGCATCACTTATGAGGCATTCTGTCTGAAGGCTGTGAATTAGAAGACCAAAAAATGTACCTAAGGCTGTCCCAGCATCCATTTACAGAAACCATGTGGGGGAAGAGAGGTGGAGAATGATTTAGCTGACACCTGTGTTGGTGTTTGGTATAACAGGTGACCAATGCTTGTTGTCTAAACGACTGTAGCAGTGCAAGCGGAGGACTCGTGGGGACAGCGTGAAGGTGAAGATGTCTCACCCAGAATCTCGCTACTCCTTTGATGTCCCAAACCCTTGCATCAACTTTGCGACTCTGAGCGATGATGATGTATACAATGCAGACTCCTGGTTTGGTAAGTTGCTTCCAGCTCCTTGATTTGTTTTCCCTTTGGATGAGGGCTTGGTGTGATTCCTGTTTTGGGCCTGGCTTCTGTGCCAGTGGATTAGTCATGTTGTTAACTACATCACTCATCATGCATGGGTTTTTTTGTTTTGTTTTTGTATTTAAGCTTTGATTGTCATCTGTAACTTGACAGGTTACTTTAACATCATAATGATATTCTGAGGTAATGTTAAAAATGCCTAACGTAGTATGTATAGTGAAAGTTTCTCTTTCCTCACAGACCAAAAAGCCAATCAGGAGAATGTCCCTCCTGCAGAAAATCTGGCAAAGGTCTCGCAGAACAGCCCTGCTTCTTCAAAGACTGATGTTATTCCTCGCAATGTGACAGAAGACGGAATACTAATGAGTAAGCTGGCATGGTGTGGCGGGAGAGAATAAATTTTACCTGCTTTTCACTGGCAAAATGAAAAGGTCTCAGTTTGGCTTTTATGGGACCATCTTCATATACTGTTGTCTAGCAAGGTCTCATGTGGTTTCACTTTAGCATTCCTCTGTGTGTGTATATATGTATATGTTTATATATGAGCTGACATTTGTCACTGTTCTCAGGTGAAAGCCATGGTGAAGAGGACAGTGAAGCAGAATCTGTGCAGGCCAGTGCAGTTCCTCAGAATATTGTTGGATCTCTGACGAGCTGGAGAGCTGCTGCTCCTGCAGAAGCCTGTGAAAGGTGAAATACTTGTATTCGGTTTGCATGAAGACTGATGATGGTGTAACTAAGCAGGTTGCTTGCTCTCAGGATCTGCAGTTCTAGCTGTTCTTGGGTCATCCGAGGGGTCTGAAGTTCTCCAGCACAGAGATTGTGTATTGGGACAGCTGATCTGCTTGCTAAGCTGGAGGGGCACTCTCTAGGGGTGGAAATGTAATGCAGCATCTCACATACTTGTCAAATGAGACTCGGTAGCACTAGGAGCTTTTGGAATGTGAGAATATCTGAAGCTGGCATATAAAATTTCTTTGTTTATATCTGCCTGAGTTGGGCAGAAGTCGTTCTTGGTATGAATGCAAGGGGCTCTGTATGGTCATATGTACTAAAGAACATTATGATTATGGATTGTTAAACTTCAGTAATTCATGCTGCGTTTGGGTTGTAGTGTTAAACACACAATTTGCGTAAGGGGCATGTTGGAGTTAGGTGATGCACTGATGTAAAAAGTATTACATAGATCGTGTGTCTTCTCAGACCTGTGGGAGAACTAACCTCCATTTTCTGTTCTACTCTAGAGCGGGTAGAAGACAGGCTACAAAGCAGAGAAAAACACAGCAATGCAAACAACCAGCTAGAATCAAAGTGGAGAGAAACGCTAATGCCTTGGTTCATAAGGAAGAGGTTCCACCCCTGAAAAAAATGAGAATGTATGTCATCAAAGTCCTCCTTTTTGGGGCTGGGAAGGGGGATACAACTGTTTCTTTGGAAAGGATTTCCATATGACTGAGAAGGTTCTCACAGCAAGGTTAGGGGGAGGTGACTGAAACATGATTCCTGATGCTGGTTTCATAAACCAGAAGAAATGGCTGTGAGACCTGAAAGAAATCCCCTATTTGGAGGTAGGGATGTGAATGAAATAGGCTTGGGTTTCTTAAGCTTCCTAGTCCATACTCGGTGTCTGTCAGCTAGCTTGAAATTTGGCTTAACTTGTCCATCAGGAAGTCATCAGGCAGTTGTAAGCTATGAAAGAGTCACAGCTAAAATATTTCTCAAATTAGCTTAACCACTAAGATATCATATGGTGATAAGCTTGAGGTCAGAAAATTGAAGTGCGATCTTTCAAACACTGCTGTACCTAGATGAACTACAGTACGCCTACCTCCTCAAGAAAAGCCCGAGTTCTAAAAACTCAGTAATTCATCTTCCCTTCTGCAGCCGTAGAGTACCAGGGAAAACTAGATGATCTATACCTGGGCCTGTAGTGAGGTAAGGCCAGTCTGGCGTACCTTAGAACTCAGCAGGTGTTGGGACCTTATGCATGATGGTGAGAACTGCAGGTGGTCTTTCACTTAGAGCACGGTTAATTTGAGTGGTTTGCTCTAACAACTTGATTCCTTAGTTCTAGCAGCAGAGAGAAGCTGACAGAAGTATCCACGAAGGGAGAACCCCTGCAGAATCCTGATCTCTCTCCAAGGAGAGGGAAAAGCAAACTGACCATGCCCTCCACGCCAACAATGTTAAAGTACGTAGCTTGCTTGTAACTTGTCTTTGCTAATCACAGTTGATTTAGGTGACAGCCCTGGCTAGAGTGTTTTCAGCTTGAACTTAGCACGTGACAGTATCACATTTAGTAAATACCGCATCAAGGCAACAACATTGGGATGAAATGTACTTCACCAACTGAACCTGTGCAAAGCAAAACCTTTGTTTTTAGTTTGAGGAAAATGTTGTTCTTGCTAATGGATGAAGCATGCATATAGCAAATGTGTGTGCAGGGTAGCAGTTAGCTGCAAGCTTTCTTGAGCAAACAAAATCCAGACAGATCTTTTCTAAAGAGTATATTTTTATAATGAATGATGCTTCTGCAGTGAAGTGAGATATAAGCATGTTCCTTTGCACTAACATTGTGCTGTGAAGCAGGAAGGCGTATCTCAGCCTTTAACATGCTTCTGCAGGAGGACCAATCTTTCTGGCAAGCTGAAGAGTACAGAGGAGCAGGAGCTGGAAAAGATGCAGCAGTTGCAGCAGGAGGTTATGGAGCTGCGGAAGAAGAACGAGGAGTCTTTGAAAGCAGCTATCGCTGGAGCAGGTGGGTTCTAGCTGAATTGCAAATTGAAGCTGTATGGGGCTCAGCTGGAGGGTGCTGCACAGAGCTGTACAAGTACCTTTCATAACAAACATTCCAAATCTTGTAATAAGTATTAGGATTAGGTGGCTTTTAATGTAGATCAGCCCCTAAACTGCTTGGAAAGAGGTTTGCTTGGTTTTTGTCATGTTTTGAAAAGTGATAGATGAGTTCTCCAAAAACTGTTCAAGTTATTAGAAAGGAAATGCCTCTTTTTTTCCCAAATCCTTCCTCCTGCCCCAAAAGGCTTCCAGACCTTACAGGCTCTTTTTCTTTAGGACAACCTGTGAAGAGAACTGTTGGTCAAGTAACAAAGCCAATTGACTTCCACTTCTGCACAGAGAATAGAATTAAACAACATGTGGAAAGCCAGCCTGGGAATGAGTACAAGGAACTGGATTTTGCGGCAGTACTGAGAAAGCATCCTCCTTCTCCGGTGAGAACCAGAATATTGCCAGCAGTCAGCTGACTAATTCTTGACATCAGTTTCTTTCTACTTTTGCAACACACGTGCTGCCGGTAACCCACAAAGAGGGTTACCGTAAGAGAGGCAAGCGTTGTGCGAACGTAACTGTTAGCACTTAGCTCATTGCGTATTTGCCTTGCCACAAGACTTTAAAGGACCTTTTGAAAAAGGCTCTCTTGTCATATCTTCCCATCATTACACTTCATGCTTTAATCTTCCACTTCATGCAGTTTCCCAGTATGGCTAGCTTGTGCATGTTCAGACAGTTAAGACTTATGTCTAATTTTAAGTGTTATCTCCTTTTCAATAAGGAGGAGGGACAGATAATATGAGTCAGTGGGGAAAAGAGATGTCATCAAAGCATCTCGTGTTAAATGGCCATAATGACTGTAGTTTTTTGTCTCCAGGGCCGAATGCTGAAGGGACCCACTATCCCCAAACCATTTAATCTGTCCCAGGGAAACAAAAGAAAACTTGAAGAAACCACATCAGAATACGTGTCCCTTGCTGAGCAGGTAGAAGCATTCCAAAAACGCACACCCTCTCGTTACCATTTGAGGAGCAGGAAATCTGAAGAAGGTGAGCAGTCCTGGCTATTGTCCAGCCAGGAGGCTGTCCACAGAGATGGTGGTAGAGCAAGAACAATGCTTTGACTACTGAGCAAACAGTCTGTGCCTGTTGCAGGCCTTGCCATTAACTGCTGGTCTCTGTGACTTGGATTTATAGGCCCGGTTGCAGGAAAGTTGGTGAAGGCTCGGCTTACAAACCCCAAAACGCCAGTGCTTCTAACAAAGCAACGCTTCAGACCTGTCACCTGCAAAACTACAGCAGAGTTAGAAGCAGAGGAAATGGAGAAAATTCAACAGTAAGTAAAGGTTTACTCTAGTCCTCCAAGAGAAAATTGTACCATGCTTTCAGATGCCAAAATATCACTTCTCAGGAATACCCTTCTTGTGTAAGAGGATGAGTAGCACAAAAACACTGAAATTCTCTTAGCTTGTGCATAATCCTGTGCTCTGACTGTAGGGGTATGAAAAGTAGACAATTCATTTTTAAGAAAATCCTCTTAGGAGAGCTGATCTAGGGTTGGGTACAGCTTGTGATTGCTAAAGCAAACCCAGTATAGCAGTACAGCCTGTGCACACTTTAAAAATCTCCTGTAGACAAAGCTTTAGATTTCCAAGAAAGCAATCCATGAGGTTTTCCTTAACATCTTGCTGTTTCAAGAGCAAAGGAGGAGTTGCTAACTAGAGCTGCACGCTATGTAATGAGTGTGTGTGTGTCACAACTGCTTCTGTACCTGACTATTGCTCTGTTATGCTGTGAGAGAAGCCATTTGCTAGGAGTTGCATCTTGCCATGTACAATATGTCGGTGACTATCTCAGCCTTTTCTGTGTAGGTACAAATTCAAAGCACGAGAACTCGATCACAAAATCTTTGAGGGTGGACCACTCCTGCCCAAAAAACCCCCTGTGAAGGAACTCACGCAACCCATTGGCTTTGAGTTGGAAATAGAAAAGCGGATTCAGGAGCGTGAGAGTAAGAAGCAGCAGGAAGAAGAGCACTTTGAATTCCATTCCAGGCCATGTCCAACGAAAATCCTGGAGGATGTTGTGGTAAGAAGTTTAGTAATACCCAGGTCTGGGAATTAGGACTGAGGTGGCAATTAACTTCAAAATGTCCATACCTATGTTGCATTATGTATTTAATAATCTTCAGTAAACACTGTCTGTCATAGGTAAGAATTGCAATGGGTATGTACTGTGCTAGCTGGGGTTGTTTCTCTGTAGTGCTTTTTCTTGGTGCTTTGGTAACTCCTTACTGGCTCTTTTGAACAGGGTGTTCCAGAGAAGAAAGCACTTCCTGTTACAGTCCCCAAGTCTCCGGTCTTCACCTTGAAAAGCAGAACCCGAATGCCTGGCAAAGATGAAGACAAGGTACCTGTTGTGAATGGGCTGTAGTCAAACCTTCTGGTCCCATCACAGTGACTGCCTTGGCCAGCCTGCTCTACCTCTGCCAGCTGGTCTGATGGTCTGGTTTGGTTAGCTCCTTCCTGCCTGTTACGTGGTTCCTCCAGTGGTCGTCTTTCTCTGTGCTGTTCCCTTCTAACGATCTAGTTGCTGCTACTCATTTTACAGAAATTGAATTCTCATACAAAATGAAATAACTCGATTTAAACATGAGGGCACTGACTAGCGTTTCTGAGGTGTTGCTGCTCTGAATGAGGGAAGCTGCTTAGATTTCTGAAGGACATTGCCCTTCCCTATTCTGTTACGGAGGAGGGCAGATATTGCACATGACACTTGTCCCCACAGTCATTCTAGATCCCTGGAGTGTGGGAGCAGGGTTTGGAATGCATCATGTCTTTCCCCCTTTCTCTCTTGTGAAGGGGACATTAAGGAATTACAGTCTAATTTGGATGAGTGCTAGAACTGGTAGTGGTTTGGAAAGAGGAAGAACTTGCCTGTGGTTCAGGATGCCTGTAAATTGCTACTTTATGGATTACTAATTTTTGCAGTGTCCAGAGTGTTTGCTTGACACAGTGACCCCTATTAAAGGAACTCTAGTATTCACGGCTTGCTTTGGCAGGAGTTGTAGTCTTTCTACAAAAATAAAAAATCTGGTGCTGTGTCAGATCCTAACGCTGATATCCCTTTAGGAAAAAGAGGTGGTCCCTGTGATCAAAGCTAACCCTATGCCACACTATGGAGTGCCCTTCAAACCTAAAATGCCAGAGCAGAGGCATGTGGAAGTTTGCCCCTTCTCTTTCGATGCCCGTGACAGAGAGCGGCAAATACAAAAAGAGAAAAAAATAGAAGAATTGCAGAAAGAAGAGGTAAGAACTAAAAGCTACCTTGGATTCCACTCCTTAAGTAAAAAGGGTGTAGTGGAACTTGCTTCTTGCTGTTGTCTGTTAAACTTCCAAAACTTCATGCCTTTGAGGAAAGGGCAAGAAATATTTCAAGTTGTCTCTTTCAGGTGCCAAAGTTCAAAGCGCTACCTCTGCCTTACTTTGACCATGTTAAGCTGCCAGAAAAGAAGGTCAAAAACCCAACTCAGCCTGAACCGTTCAATCTGCAGATAGATGAACGGGGAGCTGCCAAGCTGCAGAGCTGGAAAGAGCAGGTAGGATGAAAAGGATGACAGGTATGACCAGACTTGAAGCAGCTAGTGGAGTTGTGGTTGACTGCAGAAAGTGTCCTGTTTGAGTTGAATCAGGATCTGAGTTTGAGCACTGAATTATCCTGTCCTTGGCATGAGACTTGTGCTATGGATTACGGATTGGTGGATTGGTTGGTGGGTTTTTTCTCCCTTTATGGTAAGTGATGGGATTTACCACAACTGCATATACAGCTGTGGGGTATTTTCTAAGCAGCCACTATGTGCACCTGGATCCCTTTGACCATCTCTGTGCTTGGGGATTTATTGACATATAGATAATTTACTGCTTTTCTCATGTCAAGTCTGCAATGGACACTTGAAATTCCCTTCAGGCTATTTTTGGGAAAAGTAACTGGCAGGCAACAAGTGACATAACCTTTTGGCTTTAATATAATTTTCTATGCAAATGAGTTGATCTAAGTCAAACTGGCTTTTTCAGTGTTGGGAGTGCTGAAGTCTGGAGGAGGGTAGATGGTCTTTTTGCTATGCATGGCACTTGATGGGCTTTCTTCTCTTGCAGCTTAAAGAAGACTTGAAAAGGCAGAAAGAGGCGGCTTGTTTTAAAGCTCGTCCCAATACAGTGGTGTACCAGGAGCCTTTTGTGCCTAAAAAAGAAAATAAGCTGCTATCAGGTGAAGTTACAAGTATTTGCTATACAGGTTTGGCTGATAGCTCGGAACCGATGCAATTAAATGATGCTTAGGCTGGCTGTTGCCTCTTCTTTATCAGCACGGCCATTAGTGCTGTGTGCTTAATCAACTAATTCCCTAACAGCTTGTGTCCCCAGGGAGCGGTGGAGTTTCCTCTCCACTGCCCCCCTGGCCTGCACCAGCATGGCAGCTGTATTTAACAGCTATGCTACAACTGGCGTATGATTGATGTGCGCTAGCGTGGGATAAGGGTAAATGGCGTGCAAGGACCTCCCTGGAGAGACAGCTGGCATTTCTGCAGCAGCCGCCAGTCTTTTCCTCCCATTTCTAATGAGATGAAGGCACCTACAGCTTGGGGGTAGATTAAACTTTGTAGGGTATAGAACCAGCCAAAGACTTGCTCGTGCTAACAATTGTGTGGCTGCTCCCTCCTATGAGAAAACCCGTGACGGGGTAACATGTACATTAACACTGCTCATGTCTGAGCGTAAGGTTTTCTCTTTTCCTGAAGCCTGGAGGTATCTACTAACCAACCTTGCAAGGGGAAGCACTCCAGAGGGAGGCTTCCGTTTGACGCTAGTACTGCTCTGCTTTACTTGACTGTCTTTGCACCAATGTTATCTCCTCTATTTCTAAACTTAGAGAGCCTTTCTGGTTCCATAGTTCCTGAAAGCTTTGAGCTGGCAACGGAAAAAAGAGCTAAAGAGCGGCAAGAATTTGAAAAAAGATTGGCAGCTATAGGAGCCATAAGGGAGAGGCATCAAGAGCAGGTCAGACAGCAACAAGAGAAGCGTGAAAAGGAAGAAGTTGCTAAGCTAAGACAAGAACTGGTAAGTGAGCTATTTCTGAACAGGGGCTGTAAAGTAACCTAAAGGAATGTGTGAATATACTAACCCAGCTAATGTCAATGTTGAGCTGCACTGAGACTGTCTTTTCAAGTTTCCCTGTTGCAAACCAACTCCTCATTAACTGTACAACTGGTCTTAAAAAAAAGGCAGCTCTGCTGAGATGACTGAGTTTCAGAGCTGTACACATGTAGTCACTGGAGCAGAATGATCTTTGTAAAACTCACCACCCCAAAGCGTGCCTTGCATGCTCCTGGTGGCTCACTCCAGTGCCCTAGGCAGTGTGGTAGTCTTGTAGACAGGTGCCTGCCTTCATCCCACCAATGGCTCACCTGCAAGTTTCAGCTTCATCATAACTGCAACCATTTGCCTCATTTTGTCCATGATTGTGTTTTGTGTTTTTGTTTTTGTTTGTTTTTTTTTTTTTTACAGGTTCACAAGGCAAACCCAATACGCAAATACCGTAGCATAGAAGTGAAGCCCAGTGATCAGCCACTGACTATGCCGAAGTCACCCAACTTTTCGGATAGATTCCGGTGCTGATATGCATCTGCGTTGATACTAGGAGGGAGATCCCATCCCTCTCTGCCCTCTTGATAGGCAGGGAGGGAAGAGTTGCTTTTACGTGACTGCTCAGTCTCAACTCCTACACTTGGGTGCCATTATTGTCATATTGAGTAGTTTATCTCCACTTGAGGCAGGTGGCTGAGGCACAGCATACAGGCAGTGCCATACAGTCTCCATGGCCTTGCTCCATATCTAGACATCTTCTGTAAAGACAAAACCAGGTTTTGATATTGTATACAAATATTGTGTACCTGAACTAAATAAAAATTCCTAATCTGATTGCTGTCTCTTGCTAGTGGGCTGAATCCTGAATCCCTTTCCTGCAGAAGAGTTTTCGGTAAAGGGCGCTTGGTAAACGTACAAGGATGTGTGCGTCTGGAAGAATTGCCTTGTCTTTTTATACATCTAAGTATTGGTTTCAAGTGTCCATTTCTTAGGCTTCCAGTATGTATTAAGCTTGACTTCTGTTAAGTAATGCAGTTTCTGCAAGCCAGCATATTGTGGGTATGACCTTTCTCGATGTTTAGATGAGTGCTAATATGAATCTTGCCTGTGCTCTAAAGTAGTTCCCTGTGTCTATTAGAGCGTTAGACCTTCTACTGTTTTATAGCTGAAGCCATCTATTTGGGGAACCACCTAACTGGGAAATGACTTGCTGTAAGCTGCCTCCCGGGCTCCTGCTGCGCAGTTCTCTTGGCTATAGACATGTCATCTCCTAGCCAGTCTAGCCTGGCTAGCAGAACTAAATATAGACTAAGTGCTCGAATGTGCTGGAGGACAAAAATTTCAGCATTGTGAAGAGGTGATCAAATTTAGATTAAAATTTACTAATAATTATTTCTTACCTTAGCATTGTGATGTGATTTCTTACCTTGTAAGACTCCGTTTTAGGCCTTTCCTTGGACTTGTCTTAACAAGAAAGATAACTCCAGAAGGCTGTATGAGGGCAAGAAGGGGTTAGGGATACAGCTACTCCAAATGATGTGCTCAGATGCCGCTGCTGCCTGCTGACATGTCTGTGGTGCTGTTACCTGTTCTGCTAACTCAGGTGATCCTGTGGCACTGTTTCCTTAGTGGAAAAGGGACTTGCAAAAAAAGGCCGGTATGGCAGGTGACGAGCCGTGCTTGAAGCCGTTGGCAGAAAGGAGCAAGCCCTCTAGTGCAGGCTCGGAAATGCGTAGAGCTCTCTGGGCTGGCTGGGCTCATGGCCGTAATGACATCGAGGCTTTGCCTCTCCTGTGTTGATGGGTCTCTCACCTTTTATTGCTTGCTGGAACTGGTGTGTGCTGGGCTGCTCACTGCCGTGGCAGTGCTGTTTTGAACAGAGGAAAACGTGGGAAACTTAGAATTAATGTACCTACCCAGGTACACCCAGGTAGGACAAACTGTTTCTTGTTTGGGGGTTATGGCAAAGACTTGCTTTAATTTCCTCTGAACTTGGGTACCATTGGAGAAGTATTCTTGGAGTGTGTGGCCTTTTATTCAGATTTTCTTTTGGGTGGTGAAGAGAGGGAGTCCAAACCTGTTAGGTGTTGGACTCCAGCTGAGGGGTATAGTGAGAGGTACTGTCTCATTATCCTTGCCAAAGTGTGTCAAGCAGTTGCTAGTGTTTTACTCCTAATCCGAGAGAGATGAGGCAGAAAGTCTTCAGAGAGCTAAATTCAAAGACGAACACTTATCGTACCTGAGGATGATGTTTTTGCAGGAATTCTCCTAAAAAGTATGATGCTCAAGCGATATTGTTGCAGAGCAGCTGCTGCAGTGAGCAAGTGTTTTGCATGGGTGTACTGAACTTCAGTGCTTCAAAGAGCACCAGCCTCAAACTTCTGCTCTGTTTGGATTAAAAGAAAGGAAAAGTCACCCCCACTGAAACAAGGATTCTTAAAAAAAAAAAAAGGTATTGTGCAGGTAGTAACTGAGGAACTGGAGAACAAGGGGGTTTGAGGAAGCTTGTTGGTACCAAAGGATGAATGACCCTGTGACAGTGTCGCCTCTTCAAAATGGTGAGCTAAGGGACAAGGCTTCTTTTTGCCAAAGTTTCAGCTTTTTCTTTCTTTTTCCTCGAGGATCTTTATGTGGCTGTGGCAGAACTGGGCCCAAAAGGTTGATCCACTCGTGTAGGATGGCTTCAGCTGCATTTTGCTGACTTTGCTGGTAGCCCCATGTCACTGAGCTGAGGATAACGGGGTGGAGGGGGAGACTGTCAGCAGCAACAGCCTGCCCAGAAAAGCTGCTTGTCACAGGTAACTGTGGCAGCCCTGCTGATGCACAGTTTACAAGAATGACTGGAGCAAGAGGAACTTGTAAGCATCCTCTTGAAAACTAAGATCTGCATGGATCTGACCAAAGGTGTGCAGATTTTTCCTCAGCCTGCCTTAACCCTATTTCTGTCGTAGTGGAGCTGTTCCGCAGGATCTGCTGGACAGGGACGTGGCAGGACCTCGAATGTGCAGTCAAGGAAACTTCTGCGGCAGCCTCGAGTGCCAGTTCCTCTGGAGCAGGCAATGCCTGGGCAGCAGGAGCAGCAAATATTTATGGTGAGTCGGAAGAAAGCCTGAATGATGATGAGCTGGGGCTGCTGAGCCAGAGCAGATACCGATCCCTGAAGGATGGAGCAACTGGATTTCCGTGACAGCCTTACATGGCCTCTGCCTCAGACCTGAGGAAGGGTTTGTATGCCTGACAGCTTGTCAGTTTTTCCCAACGGTATCACTGGGTCTAATAAAAGACATTACCTCTTCCCGCAAACACGGCCTCTTACGTTCCTCATACGCTGCAAACTTAGTGAGAGGCAGCCCTTCAATAAGTATCGGGCGTTTGGCGGAGCTCTGGGACTCATCCAGCGGGTTCTCGCAGGCTGGTGGCTGGCGGGTGGTTGGTGTAACCTGCCCTTTTAATTAGGGGGAAAGTGGTGACATGCTGCAAAAACTGCTCTAGCGTAGAAAATGTGTAAAAGAAGGGTGTCCTGGAGGAGCTGAATGGGGGTTCAGCTAAGGCTTCAACAGGGAAACAGTGGCAGGTGATTTTCCCAGTCCCAGTAAAGTGGGAGAATAAAGTTACAGGACTGGAGCAGCAGACTGGGATTTAATTGAGTGCTGTTTCAGGACATGTCTTTAGAGTCAGGGTAGGTTGACAAACTGATGTAATGTCTATATTCTTGCTGTGTGGATTTTGCAAAAACTTTCTATTCAAGAACTCAGAACTCATCACCTTTATGAGTGTGCCTTGAGAGCAAGTGGGGCTGGAAGGAGGGGTGATCAAGGAGAGCTGGACCTGGGTACAAAATCTCCGATTCATATCTAGTTCAGTTGTTAAAGTAATTTGCTGAACTCGGACTGGAGTTGGAACTAAAAGGCAGCCGATGTTTTTCTGGACTTCTATGTCGAAGGGTAGCTGAGAGTTGCAAGATCTTATTAGCTGGTGAGTGAGATGCTTATGAAAAGGCTTGATGATGCTCTCGAAACCTTTGCTTCTCTGCTGGGATACCTTGTTGGCTGCCATGTTGCTGTCCTTGGCCTGCTGCATAGCTCCTGGAAGCTCCTCTGATGATGTTGGGACTTCTCTTTTCCCATCACCTTGATGGGACCTGTCACGACATGAGCGCAGCTCTGGGGAAGTCCTGGGTGCTGATGGAAGCAGTTAAGCTGCTGACCGTGTGCCCGGGTTGGTCCCCACCGGGCTGGCTTGTGTTACAGCGGCATGGCCGGGATTCAGGTGGGGTTGTTGTTCTCGCCTGCCCTGCCGCTCGATTTAGATGGGGTGTAGGGTTTCCTGGAGAACAGGCAGGGCTTGGCTGCGCGGAGAGTCTCCCTCACCCATGAAAAGCATAAAGGTTAAAGTGTGCTGCCGAAGTTGTGACAACGGCGTAGCTAGGGAACTGGCGTGCTTGATGCTTTGCCAGATAGCCCCAGGACAGGCTTGTTTTCCAGCTGCAGCCAGTGTAGACTCTGGCTTAAGTTCCTGAGTGGGGGGAACAAACCACACAACCCAGACTGAGAAACCTTGGTTTGGTGGTTGGTTTGCTTCTGTGCTCTGCAGAGAGCTGGAGCACTGTGCTGCTCATTGGGGTGTGGGTTTTTGGATGAAGGCATCAGAAATCCTGGTGTGCAGCAGCTATTGCCCTTCTTACAATACTGCAATTGTTTCTTGTGAGGGGACTGTTTTCAGCTTATTTCCCTTTGCCCACAAATGAATTTGGTCTTGTAACAGTGCCAAACCATGGGACGCGTACCCTTCACACGCATCTCCTTTGGAGAACCATTTCCATGGCTCCCCAGCACCGCAGTGCCTGCTTGTAGAGCTTTGCCTCCTCACCTTGTCCCAAGCTTCACACCTGGATGCCAACCCCGGCTCCCGGTGAGCCCGTAAGGTCGCACGTGCCCCGTGAGGGCTGGCCCCTGTCCAGGCAGGCGCTCCTGCTCTCCTTGGAGAATTCCATCCCAGCTTCCGCTGCACCAACTGCTCCCAGGGCCCGCAGGGCATGGCTGTGGCGCGTGGGCTCCGCTCCCCTGCCTGGTGCATAAATGTGCTCCTTCCCCTGGGGTGTACCGGGAGGGTGCAGTGCCGAGGGCTGGCACAGTGGTGGCCTCCAGGTGCCTGGCAGCCCTTGGCCAGAGGAGGGGAGAGGCAATTCCAAACTGTATGTTGGCGATGACAGTCGGTGGGCAGAGTCCCCGCTGCCCGAGGCACGACGTCTAGCCAACTACTCTTGCCGGCGTGCCCTGCGGAGGCCGAGTTGGGGGGGACTCCCACTCTCCCTGGGAGCAGCAGCTTTGTCAGGCGTGGGTGGTGTGGGTACCACGGTCCCCAAGAGCCGTGGATGCCGGTGATGCTCCAACCTCTGCATGTCCACCACTGCATCAGCGCTGCTGCTTGGAGCCGTGTGCTTGCTCCTGAGTGATCCCTGTTGGTTCTCATCATATTCCAGGTCCTGCCCCTGATCTCGGGCAGAGGGAGGCTCACCAGCTCCAGGGTGGAGCCGGGCTCGCTGAAG